CATGATTCTATGATTCCAGCATTCTCTGGTTATTTTGTCTCTGCTGACTGACCCTTTTCCTTTGGCAATATTTAAAGGAAAGGTTTTATTTGTGTATGTTGGGATGATGTCAGAGGTGAGGAGAAATGATGGTGTGTGCTGTGTAATTCTGCTACATTGTTTGTTGCATAGGTTAGCAGGTGCAGAGACTTTTGAGATTTATTGCTCTATGATACAATGAATCCTTTACTTTAGGAAAATGTACAACTGTAATAAAAAATAAATCTGCAAAGATGGTAGTAAAATTAGTGTGTTACGATGAAAATGGTTTTATATAGATATATAGCTGTAGATACATATTTAGTTACACGCTTCAAGCTACTTTTTTTTTCATACTGCTTTTAAACTAATTAATCACTTTTAGATAATTGATGAAAGGCAAATGTAAATATATATATTTCTGTGTTCACACCTTTTCCTGAGGTTAACCTGTAGCCCTCTGCATTACCCTGCATGAACTTGTGGTGGGGGAAGATGAGGTTCTCCAGCTTAATACAACCAAGAAACATGAAAGACTCCCTTCAAAAGGTGTGATAACAGTTGTTGAAAATAAATTGTTGTGAGTTGAGAATTAGAGCAAACCAACAGGAATGAGTTTTTACTGCTCCTTTCCTTTCAGCCTGTTGAGAACGGTTTGGATTCTCTGGTGCATTGAACCACTCTGTTTTGCTCCAGAATAAAGGGTTCTAAAAGGACGTAAGTGTGCGAAGTGCACGTAGTTAACAGAATTTACTTCCATGTAAAGGCTGCTTTACCCAGCCAGAGAGTGTTTATTGCAGGTGAGCCTGCGCAGAGGGATGGTTGGATGGTTCCCTCAGGTTGGTAGTAACTTTGCACGGCGTGAGGAAGATGGGGCACTGTTAACAAGGCACGAGGCCTGATCCTGCCCGCTCTGCACAGACTGAGCTCCTCTCGTCCAGCGGTCAGCCAGGTTGCAGACAGCATGGGAGCTTTTAGGAATGCGGGAACAGAATTGAGTTGTGCATCTCAGTTAACGGGGACACATTTGTTGTGCAAAGGTGAATCATGGCACACAAAACAAAAGGGCTTGCTGTTTTCTTTTCCGTAAATGCTACATTTTCCAAACCTTTTTTTGAGGATTTAGTATTCTCACTCATCATGGTAAGAGTGAGTGAGAGCAGCAGGTTTGCATGCAGTGGATATAACTGGCTGCAAAATAACAGATGTCTTTTATACACAGGGACAATTGGATGAGCTATCATACTTTGAAATCAAAACTGAATGCCAGGCCTTTCCCCCTTCCTTATTCTTATGAACATTCAATATCAAGTGCAATGCTAGGCTAGTATTGATTGATTTAGTTTTTCAGTAAAGAAGCACATCTCCATGCTTCACTGTAATTCTGAAAATCGGTGTTGATTTTTGACATCATGCTTTGCAGAAGGTACGGCAGCCCAGGAGAGGCTTCTTGTCCTGATGGGTTGGTTGCCTGCTATGTGTGATGGCCAGACACGGGGAATTATCAGCATACTTGACTCCAGACAACCTCTGGAGTTAAATCAGGGTGCCAGCGTGTCTAGCATGACTATATTTTGTGGAAGGCCCTCTCTGGCTATATTGCCAAGACATTCAATGCCTGGAAACATTTACAAACAATGGCCTCCAACAAAGGAGCCATGGCTGTGCAGAGGAAGCTTGCTCACTGGGATTGACGTCAGCTGGGATGGATGCTGACCAAACACCAGCATCTCTTGGGCTAACACTGCCCATCTGCGCTCAGCCGTAATGGTGTGTCTGTGGTGGGCCTGGTGAGGGTGTGTCCCATTTGTCTTCCTCCTCAGGTCTGTGATAATATATAAATCCTATCATTCTAGTTTACGAGAAAAAGCTGTGCAATCCCAGGAGTGCTTCCATGGAAAGAGGACACTTATAAATATACAAAAACTCAGCAGGATTTAGTTTTCTGTAAAAGAAAACGTGACTGTGACATATCGCCTGAGAATGAGGAATCATTTTTCTTTGATGCAAAATTGCTTGGTCTTAGCAATAACAGTTGTATGCAATTTTGTGCAGATAGGACCTGGGTTTTAAAATGACATCAACCTAGCTTTTAATTTTGCAGGTGTAAATTGCACCTGCAAATCATTTTGTCTGCAAACTGCAGCATTTCATGTTTGATTTCCTGATTTCCTATGGCTTCCTTAACTGATGTCAGTTAGTTATTTCAATGTACAGCTTTGCAGACTAGTACTTCAGGAACAAAATTGCAGTCTCAAAGCTTCAAACCCATTTCTGAACATTTCATGGAAGTGAGGAGTTAGGAAGTGTAGCTAGTCCGCTGTTTGTACAAATCTTTTGATACTGTCCTCCAGTATGAGATTAGTGTTGGTTATCATGGCGAAACACTGCATCTGTGGCATCTGTTGAGCAACTTGATCCAACAAAGCCAAGAAACTGCAATTTACGGCAAGATTCGTGGTTGCGTTTCTAATATACGTTCTTGTGAACCACGTTTTGTCAGTCTGAGTATCAAGTTCGCTCTTATAATAGCTTTATTCCCTATTACCTCCCTTTTCCTAGCTTTGTTTTCAAAAACTAGCCACTTAGCTAGTCTAAAATTGCCAGTTATCTGTAATAATAACGATCGTGGGGTGTGGGCATTTCACTAGTGAAGAGTGTGTGCGTACGTAGGCACACATGCAGTCAAAGCCCTGGGAGACTTCCTCCCCACCAACGTAGAAGATTACATTTTAAATACAAAGCCTCTGCATACTTTTTAGGAGGTACCTGAGATACAGTTAACTCAGCTGCAGTAAGAATTTTAAAAACTAAGCATTTCACAGTGAAAAGCCTTTTTATTTAAAAAAAAAAAAAGCAAGAAAGTACATATAGCTTTAGTTTCTTGGCAGCCACATAGGGGTTTGCCAGATTGATGTATTGAAACCCAGAGTTTTGTCTTCACCCCGAGGTGAGCCAGAAGATGTGGGGTGGGGAGGTGGGGACAGTGCCAGCTACTCAATGCCTTGCTTCCCCAGCACCCCTCAGCCCTGGGTTGCAGGACAAGAAGGTTGTTCTGGTTAGGTCACCCTGGGCCTGTGCTGAGACTTCCTAGAAGAGGAGGCTTGACGGGCAGCGATGCCTGTTGAACAGGAGTTGGATGGAGACCCATAAACTCATGCCGTGTTGTGCTCTGACGGCTGAGGTCTCCCAGCATTGCTGCTTGCTTTCTGCTAAAGGAGGAAGTCAATGCTGCGAAGGTAACTCAGTTAACTTTAGAGCATGGTATGGGTCTGGTAACGCATCACCAGACTTCACCTTGGTAGTTTTGTATCACTGAACGGTTGTTGATACATGATTGAAAGCAAGTACTCCAGCCCAGTTGTTATATGCCTCATTTATTACTGTATACCTAGTTTAAATACATGTTTTACTTACAGTCTTTTGTTATTTTAACAGGGTCGCCATGTTAAGACCGGGCAGCTAGCAGCAATCAAAGTGATGAATGTTACTGAGGTGAGTGCAAAACTAAAAACAAAAAGTTGTTATCAAGGTGCAAGGAAAAAATAAATATTCAGATCATGAGAAGATGGATAGCTTATAAAAGATGGTCTAGTGGTATAAATTATGGTTGCTGAGCACCAGTTTGTGTTTTATAAAGTACTGAGAGGTGTTAATACAACCGGATTTTTCAGTTGTACCTGACCAATGGTGACAAAGCAATAAGGGAATGCATTACCATATTTTGACAGTCTATAATAAGAAACAGGAGAACTCTCTTCCTGCTTGTTTCTAGTTGATTATCTGTTTCCAGAGATCGCAAGTAAAAGATTACTTGTAGCTCTGCACTGCCCCTGCTGTGTTTCATCATATCCTCTCCTGTCGTGCGCCAGCCATTCCTCAGAGCAGCTACCCTGACAGCTAGCAAGCAGGGACACGCTAGAAATGCAAATATAGCACTTTTTGATTGTTATTTGACAGATGAGAGGAGGAGACAGTTTAATTGGCGCTGTCCTCTCACATTTATAAAGTGGTGTCAGTGCTGGAACAGGGTGTCGAAAAAGTTGCTAAGTATTGATTTCTGTTTCTCCTTTTAAGAGCGCAGCCAGTAGCAAAGCAGCTTGCCTCCTTGAGACCACGTTAGCCTGAGCCCCAGAAAGATTGGGGAGACTCCCTGCTTCCTCTTCTCGAGTTTATTGGAAGTCTGTGGTTTGGTAGGACGCACCTTGTCTCACTGACGACCAGCTCCCCGCTCTGTCAGTCCGGCAGTGTAGATATGGAGTACAAAACTCCAAGATAAAGTCCTCTTGCGATGTTGTGGAAGGGTTATCGCCTGAAATAAAAACCAGGGCCAAGTCCTCTGGGCCAAGCCTGCCAGTGGTACGTCTACACGTGGTGTTTTGGGCAAGCACAAGCAAGCCTTGCCTATGTTTTTGTCTGTCTTTTGATTGTCTTGGAAGACAGCAGAACAAGTTGGTGTCTGCATGGGCATTGTCACGTAGAGCAGGTCCAGGACAGTTCTCTCTGCTGATGGTGTGGGAATCCAGCCCTGAGCAGCAAGTGGTCTGAATTGCACATTGGGTTTTTGAACTTAGATGCTACTGTAATGCTTTTACAAAGCATATCTAAGGGCTGGTTTGGCTATGGCTGCTGCCTTCTGTGCAAAGAGGAGACTGCATTTTTTAAATGAGTGCTGCATTAGATTGGTGGGATTTTTGCTTTTAGTTCTAGAGGTGCATGTATCATCAGGTGCTTTGGCTTTAAAAAATGGCAGTTACCAAGCATGAGGCTGGTGGATTTTGGAAGGGAGAGGGGGTAGGGTTTGGGTCACAGACAGATTCTTGGGATCAGAGCACCTCTGTGCTTTGACAGAGGAGCTGGCAGGACAGATCCTGGCAGGAACTTGGAACTGGTCCAGAGCTGCTGTATGGATTGCTTTCATGCTTTGCTGGGTCAGTCAACAGTGAGTGACGGCTGGCCAAACATGTCACTTGTGGGCTGTCATGTTAATACCAGTGACAGTCCTTTCCTTGATGAAACAATTGAAGCAAAAACTGCAGGAAAGGAACCTTGGAAAGATTTCCTTCCCTTTACTATACATAACACAGTCTCCTTTGTATGTAAGCAACAAACTGCAGCATCCAGTAATGCCTGCTTGCTTGGAAACAAAATTTAAATGGAGGACAACCTTATGGTCCAGCTTCAGGAATTCACGTTGATAGACTTGCATGATTCTGGGAGGAAAAACCATCTGTTTAGATCTGATTTGCTGCTGCTTTGTAGGCCTAGCATCATACTGGGGAACTTGTCCCATTGCTTGAGGGGTAATGATAACAGATCATGCTGTTTTCATGTTGAGTCACTTAATGTGAAAGCAGTTGTGATGGTTAAAAGTTGAGTGGTGAGCATGTTGGTGCAGCCATCTGAAGGGGGTTTTCCCTGGTGCTTTTCCCCCACTAAACCCTGAACAAATACAGTTCAGCTGTACTTGAGTGTTTCTGCTCTCTGCCCTTGGTGCAGGCTGAGTGCAAGGCTTTCTGCTGTTATTTCCACTTTCTTAATCCAGGGTTGCCTGTGTTTCAGCTGCTAGGGCACAGGCTGCAGTCCTCTGCTTTATCACTGACTTCCTCCAGGCTGCCGGCGGTGCCTCTGCGAGATGTTGGGAGACCAGCACAGGAGTGATTCATGCAGTTCCTGCCCATAGCTGCAGGTTCCTCCTGCAGCTGTTTGCTCTGCCCTGGGGTTGTCCTCTCCTCAGCCACCACATCTTGCAGCTCAGTGTGTTACGGTAAACCCCAACTGCTTTTGGTGCAGCGGGCTGTGGACGGCTGTGTGCAGCAGCAGGGTGGGGTTGGCAGCTGTGGTTCTGAGCCCTTCAGACACCTCAGTGCAAATTCCCAGAGCGCTTGGGGTGAGCCATGTGGCTGCAAGAAATAGGGTTACTGCTGGCCTCCTGAGATGATCCGTCTGGCCGGGGACCGTCCTGCTGGTCTCTTGTAGCGCAGAGTAGATGGAGTGGTTGAAGCCAACGCATCCCTGCTCTGCAGTTGCTGTAGGCAGGAGCATGGCTATGGCTGAGGCTGTAGATGTCCAGGGCATCTTTGAAGCTCAGTTCTCCTGCAAAAATAGCAATAGCTTTTCTCTGCTTCATAGCATTTGGTTACTGAAGCCTCTCACAACAGTAGTGGGTCCTAACTGTAATGTAGAAATCCTCTCAATCTCCAGAATTTCAGTGTCATAAATTCAGATCCTGTCAAGGATTAAGTTGGTTGGTTTTTTTTTTCCCTTGCATTGTTAGACTGCTCAGGTTTAAGTTATTTTCTGATCCTTTGGTCTTGAAAAGCTAGCTTGAGGCCTTAAATAAAGTCTTTAAAATATTGAAATCCTCATTTCCAGTGTCCTGCCTACAAATTGCACCTGAGAGCAACATCTCACATGGAGTTTGGCTTGTGAGAAATGGAAGCTGTCATAGTAAACCTGCTTCAGTGAGACGGGAGGCTCCTAGCCCCTGTGGCCATTTTCATCTTTGGGTGGTTATAGGATCTGATTAGTGCTGCACAGGGAACAGTTTTCTTGGGGAGTGAAAATTTCATGTGGTAGAAACCGGGAAGATTAAAAAAATAAAATCAAGACAAATGCAGTCTTTTTCCCTTCACCTGTCTCCAAAAAAAAAAAAAAAGGTGGAGAAGAGCCAAATGCCTGGTTTGGCATTGTGATTTATGTACCTGCTTAGAGGACTCTCCCCAGTTCAAGCCTCCAGTAGATCTCTCATTCAAAGTGAGGCAATGCCAGTGACAGAGCCCCATGCCAGTGTAGGGTGGTGGTGGTTTGGTCACTAACCTGCTCAGTAACAGGTCACTGTTGTCTGACTTGGGAGAGGATAGGATTGAACAAGGATATCATGTATCCTAGGGCTCTGAGCTACTTCCTTGCTACTTGGATATTCTGCAGTGGGTTTCTCTCCCCCAGGATCTTGTTTTCATCACTAGAAAATCCAGCCTAAGTTGTCTTTCAGCTAACATTCCATCATAAGCAGTACATTTCTGCCAAAAGATTCTGTTTCACCAAATCTATGGGGTTTTTTTCCCTGACAAGAAATCATTTAATCAGAAATTCCCTGACCAGCTCCAGCTGTGATTGCTCAGCTCTAAGATCTGGGACACACCAAGAGCTGAGCAAATCTGCCATTTGCTGTCAGGAGCTGCAGCCCTGGGCTGGTTTGTTAAGAGCAGCAGCAGGATGCTGTGGTCATTGCGGAATCCTCTGGACATCTGTCAGGAAGTGCTGCCGTGTCATTTTTACGGGGCGGGGGGAGCCCTTTGAAATGGGTGAAGGGGAGCTGATGGCTCATGTGCCTCTCCATGCAGGCTCTGCTTTCTGCTATCTTGCAGAGTGCTTGCAAAGAGGTTGGATTCTTGCTGCTTTTCTCTTCAGCTGTCGGTGCAGGTGATCAAGGAGCTCTTTGTAGCAGGTCATCCTCTGTGTGTCCTTGCTTTCAGTCTTTCCAGACAGCAAAATAACATTTAAATGAGAAACTTGTCATTAGAACTGCCCCAGTACTAAGGGATCTCTTGGTAGAGGATTTATCAGCTGATGATCTTGTTTCCATTTGAAATCAGAGGCGTGTGCTTTCTAGTTCTTGGCTTCCTAATGTTATCGCAGATAGGTCTACATCTTCAAAAACAGCCTTTGATCATGAACCTGTCATCTTAGTGCACACAGCCATCTGTGCCCAGAAGCACATTGGTTTGTGAAAGCAAACAGCTTTTTGCACCTGCACATCTCCCAGCTTGTTTCCTTTTCTTATGCAGTATGATTTATGAGCAAGTTTCTAGACCCCTGGGAGATGTGGCTGATGGTAACACTGACAGGAGGGGTGGTGGAAAGTGGAAATCCTGAGAGTGTGCATGCACTGAAAAGTTGAGGGTGCTTTTGTCCTCAGGCACCCTGCTTGAAGGATGTATGTATGCTGAGACTTAGCAAGTCCGGATTCAGTTCCTGATTGGGCCTCAGTCATGGACAGAATTGCTCACATTTATTCTTCTGCCTTGGTTTCTCCATGTGAAATGGAGTAATTTTTCCAAAACTCACTCAAGCACCGGGAACACAGAGTACTTTTTGTCTGTGAAATGCCCACCTGCTGTGCTGTGTAGCCCTTTACCTTACAGACTGACTGATATTTGAAGTCACGTCTCTGTCTTTGAAGGATGCAAGAGTTTGGCTCGGAGGTTTTCTGCTCAGCAGTGGTGGTGCTCAGCAGGCAAACCCACTGTCCAATCTAAGCAGTGTCTTCCCAAGGCTCTCATCCTGTTCCTGAGCAGCGTACAGCGGTGTGCGAGCACAGGGAACTGCCTCTACGGGCAGGGATGGGCAAGGGAGGAAGAGGCAGGTGCAGGAGGGAGCAGGTTCTGACCTTCTGGGTAAATAGATAAGGACACGAGGTAAAGCAGGAATTGGATTGTCGTGCTGGTAATGGGAAAGGAGCGTTACACGTGTGCAGCTCTTTGCTTTTGCCAGCAGGCGTGGAAGAGCCTACCTGGTATTCTGGCTGTGCTCACAAATGGGTACATGCTTATCTTTGTTTTAAAAGCGTGGAGGCGAGATTGCAGAGGAATAGAGTACTTAGAGAAGAGCTGTGTCAGTACGGTTCCACATTCAGTAAATTAATTGGGCAAAGGAAGAAGAGCTAAAAAAGCGGCTGAGGAAGTGGTTGAGATCTGCCAGCTCCCCAAGGGGAACTCTGTGAAAGATGCAGGCTGGAGCCGAGGGCGTAGCAGGGAAGCTTTTCAGTCGCGCTCCACCAATGCAAAGTTCATGCAGATGGGCAGAGTTAAAAAAACCCCAAAACCTCAAGATCTGAAGAGATCTTAAGTAAATTGAGGAAGGCCTTTAATAAAGAGTAATGTTGTCCCTCCACATGTTTAGTTCCCCTAGCAGAAGTGGGTAGGAGGCTGGGGAAGGGAAGGAGTCCTCCCTGTTTCTCCCGCTTTCTGCCCACCTTCCTTAAAGATCCTTTACCAGAAACTCGTATGAGTGACAGGACCCTTGTGGTCAGGTCCAGGATGATGGTTCCCATCTCCTAATCCTCTGCCTCCTTCTCCTCCCTGTCTGTTTCTACCCTTTCACGTGCACTCTTTGGAGTCCCAAAGGGAGTAGAACCTTGTTTTGCCTCCCAGAAAGCATCAACACAAACTCTCAGCTCCCTTTGATTGTGACCACGTGCAGAGAGAAATAGGACCTTGCTTATGGGGGATTTCCTGCATGCTGTCTGGGAGTCAGCTCTGATTTCTCTTGGAGACTCCAGATGCTGCACCAGGCTCCTCCTTACCCTCGCTAATTAAGTCATACGACAGCCAGGGCTGTATCAAGCTGAGGATTAAGCGTCCTCCTTTCCCCTTAATTGCAAACAAAAGATAAATGAAATATCTAGTGCAATGCGTGCAGCTTGAGAGCCTGTGTTCTGAAACCTGAAATAGCTCATTTTGCTTCAAGTGGAGTTATTTTACATTTCCCATTTCCTAAAGCTTAAGCCAATGAGGCTTTGGTCTGGTAATGCGTCTCCTGTGAATTGATGTTACTGGGGAAAACTTATTGGTCCCTTCTGTTCTGTTGGGAATGATTTTTGTGTGGTCGGGTTTAATAAGACACATCATATGCATGTGCTTGAGGGAATTTGGCTTCAGCCTGTCAGGCTTTAATGTTTTGCAACAGGTAAAAAGGACAATGCAGCTGATTTTGTAAGCAGTCTGTTGTGATGGTTAAAGGAATGCTTCGATGGCAAAGTTGCTGGAAAATAGTGGAAAAGTGCAGAAAAATGTCCTGTGGGGCTGAGCTGTTCTTGCTGCCTTTTTTTTTTTGTCTGTTTTTTTCTGTTTTTTTCCCCCTTCAACTATAAGTGCTGACTGGGATGTTTTGCAGCAAGGTAAATTATTTTTCAGCTTTGTCATACTCCTTTTACCCAATACAAGGATACCTTGCAGCACCATTCCTTTCCTTTTAAAACAAATGAGACAGAAAAATCTACATGCATTTTTGCTGGGTATTGTGCACCATTTCTCTTGGTGGCAACACAGCAAACAGTCTAGTTCTGAGAGGACCTCTTCAGATTAGGCAGTTCTCTCTAAAAACAGGCATTTACTTCTAATGTAATTATTAAAACTCGTGTTTCCGTTAGTTGTCTTATTGTGCACGGTGCTGTATTGGGCAGAAGAGAATGTCTGCTTTGAAGAGACTGACACAAAGACAGTGGGAAAACCGAGCTAGCTCATGCTTGGAAGGAGATGTCTAGGGGCGTGCTAGCCCCCAGCGTGCCAGAGACTTAACTGATGGCATGATGTTAGGAGGGGGGAAGAAACTCCATGGTCCAGGAGGGGTAGCCTCACAACTGGAAGGAAGGAGCAGATCCTAACCCTGTGCTGGCTCTGGAGTTTGGTTTGTGGTGTTTCCTCCTTCTTGGCTTTGATTTCCTCCCAGCAAGACCCTCCACAGGACTGGGAAGACAAATGGGCTGATGTGTGCACTAAGTGCTTTTCCAAGTATTTAAGTAATGGAGTGGTAGGAATATTTTTATTTTTGTTTGGATCTGGTTAATTTCTTCAAGACTAAATTACTGCATACAGAAACTGCAAATGGGGGAGTGATAGGTCCTGTCTCAGCCCCTGAGGACACAATATGAGGTTGTTATACCCACATGGGGACATTTTTTTATATTTTTGGTCAAACCCTAGCAATTCATTATTTAGGCCGATGGACCAGAGTGATTCAGTCATCAGTTTAAGAGCCTGTCCTTCAGTTACAGTCTCATCATCACAGGATGAGGCTGGAGGGAGCCTCAGGTGGTCTCTGGTCCAACCTTCTGCACAAAGCAGGGCCAGCCACGGGATCAAACAAGGTTGCTCAGGGCTGGTTTCATCTGGGTGTTGAAAGCCTCCAAAGACAGAGGTTGCCCTGCAGCTCTGGGCAGCCCTGGAGCTCAGGGATCTCTGGTCACCTAAGGAGACTTCTGCTCTCTTTTGCTACAGAATGAAGAGGAAGAAATCAAGCTGGAGATAAATATGCTAAAAAAGTACTCCCATCACCGGAATATTGCTACATATTATGGTGCATTTGTAAAGAAAAGTCCTGCAGGCCAAGATGATCAGCTCTGGGTAAGTGTTCAGTGTCGTTTCTGTTCGTCGGATCTGCAGCTCCTTTCTTCAGAGCTCCAGTATGCTTGGCATGGCCTCTGGCTCAGTGAAACTCTTAAGTCATTGTTCTGAAGAATAACATATAAAAGAGAAAAATTGTTCCTCCCTATATGTCTTCCATTCCCTATGATTTCCTCTGAGGATGGGCATAGATACTTGTGACTTGTGCTGTCGTTCTGATTTGTTGTTTGAGCTTTTTTTTTCCAAATTAAATGTTTCAGAATATTTTTTTTTTAACAAAACTGAAAGGGAGTTTGTCCTCTTCCCCTCCTCTCCTTTTTCTTGTTGGTTTCCCTTCCTTTTTTTCAGTTGGAAAATAAAAAAGGGAACAGAGGAATTGGCAATAAAGCAAAGAAGATAAATGAATCCCCCAATTATTTTGGCTGCAAGATTTTTGAAGATTTTTTTTTTTTAAATTCCTATGTTTTTCACTGCTATTGGATCTTGTTTTTCTGATTTTTGTAATTTCTAAAAAAAAAAAAAAAAGTACCCATAACCTGCAATAGGAGAGGAGCACTACTCGGATTTTTATTTATTCAGCAATGTGTGTGATTCAAGAAATGAGATTTTATGTCACTTGGCATCCGTGAAGGTCGCGTGTAGTTTGCCACACCTTGATTGTGGTGGAGTGGGTATTTGCACGTGGTATCTCTGCTGGCACCCTGTTAGCGCTGTGGTAAAAGTGTATTGCGTTTGTCTTCCTGCAGTTGGTGATGGAGTACTGCGGTGCGGGCTCTGTCACTGACCTGGTAAAGAAGACAAAAGGGAACTGTTTCAAGGAAGATTGGATTGCCTACATCTGCAGAGAGGTTCTCAGGGTGAGTCCTGACAACAGAGTTTTGTTGCTTGTTTGCAACAAAAAGGCCTTTCCAAGCCTTTGGTCGCTAACGTAGGTCACTAATGAGCATTATTGTTTGAAAGTTTTGATCCATGAGGCTCATGGGCTGTGGTCTTTGAGTTCAGAAGAGCCCACAGAGCCAGCATGATGGCTGCTTGACATCCCATATTATTGTAGCTAATCCCATTTTCTGTATGAAGAACAGAAAATTCCTGTTTCCTATGGCAAATAGCCATCTTCTGCAAGTCCAGATTCTAGGCATCTAGAAAAGTAAATACATTTTCTGTTTTCAATAAGTCTGTCCTCCACATCAGGAGATCTTACTGCTCATTGCTTCAGCTATTCATGCTGTGTAAGATCTTTCTGTTCATAATTCCTTCACCTGCACATGCTCAGGGGCCTCTTTTCCGTGCTATTAGAAGCAGTGTTGACTAAACAGCATTCCAAAATCTTAAAAGTTGCCCTGCTGGGGCAATATTCCCCAAGACAATTCTTGGGTCTATATTTCATTCTGTGCAGGCTTATAACTTTTTGTTTGTTTGTTTTTGTTCCTGCGAAGTACAGAGGATAAAACAATTCCCAAGTGTAATCTAGTGAACTAGCCTGGAAAAAAAAATAATATTGGAACCTGTCATTCTAAATTCAAAACCCATTACAGAGTTACTGATCCATCTTCCTTGTAATGGAGTTCTACTTCTTTTCTGAATAATGGTAAGATAAATGTGTATTCTGGGAGCTGGAATTCAAATGGCGTGCCAAAGTAATGCTTGAATAGGGGTAAATCTTTGCTTCTGGAGCAGAGGAGTTGAGAAGCGTGCTCAGTAGAGAACATTGGCCATCTTACAGGGGTTTGGCATTAGACTGCAGATTGTAATAGCAATAGCTGGAGAGCGTGGGGAGAGCTCTTCTGAAAAAAAAATAATAAAATCTTAATGGTCTAGTCAGGTTGCTTTTCATTTGTGTGGCTATAATATCTCTATTAAAGCAATTGATGTTAAAACATTTGGTTTACACTCATGCAACTGAAAACCATGACAGCCTGCTAGTGTAAAACAAGAAATTGGATTTAATCATGCTTGTTTCAAAACAAAATGACCCATTTGCACATGGATTGACAATGTTCCCCTCTGGAAGATTTAGAAGCTGGGCGGAAGCTCTGTTTGAAGTCATTAATATTACAGAGGCTAAGCATGTTGAGTGAAGCATCCCCTGGCTTACTATAATGGATTATTTCAGTGTGTTCCTTTATATGTATGCTAGTTTAACCATGGACAATTTTGGAACGAAGGAAGAGACAGGATATTGCAGATATTAGCTGAATGAAAACAGTATTTGCTGCATTCAAAAAAAGGTCTGACATGGTACTTTGAACTTTCTGTGGTCCACTTACCATTGAATATGGTTTTGCTGAATGCAGAATTTAAGCCACTGTGGTCAGCCACCTGCTGTCTCTGGTCCTCACACAGAGAATTCTACGTTGCTCTTTCCCTCTTTTGTTTGCTTTTAACACATAGTATAAGGAGGCATCCCTTGATTCTGAGACAGAAGTTTAAAATGTTGTTACCTTGTTCTCTTCCCACTTGACTTCAGAGATGCTCCACTACTGTCAGGCCTGTGGGTAAAGGCGGCAATCAAACTTCTCTCTCCTCCCTGAAACTGGGGTCTTCATGTTGCTGATAACATCTAAAGGACTTTCCTATGAATAAAGTCTGAGAAGGGTAAAAGTGTAAAAAGGCAACAATGCCACGCTCATGATAATGGTAGAAAGAAAAAAATAAGGAAAGTCTGTTTTTCTTTTAGGGTTTGGCACATCTTCATGCTCACCATGTCATCCATCGAGATATTAAAGGACAGAATGTTCTTCTCACAGAAAATGCAGAAGTAAAACTGGGTAAGTTTCCTTAAGTTTGTGCTAGAAACCTGTTTGTAAAAATTTAAGATTTCCATCTTGGAAAGAACCTTCAATCACCTAAGAGCAACAAGTATGTCAAGTAGCATTAATGCCTGTGTTTATAAGGTGTCTGTCATGTAGAAAGAGCTGCAAATGTAACATGTTCTGCAAGGATGTCACTCACAGCCTGTGGGGAATACAGCTACTTCTGGGCAGTCAAACGTACAAGCTGTCTAGTAAGTCTTGCAATCCCAAGCACAACTAAAGGCTGGGCGGAGAATGGATTGAGAGCAGCTCTGAGGAGGACTTGGAGGTGTTGATTGACGAGAAGCTCAACATGAGCTGGCACTTGCAGCCCAGAAAGCCAACCGTGTCCTAGGCTGTATCAAAAGCAGCGTGACCAGCAGGTTGAGGGAGAGGATTCTGCCCCTCTACTCCGCTCTTGTGACACCCCACCTGGAGTACTGCGTCCAGCTCTGGGGTCCCCAACATAAGAAGGATGCAGAGCTGTTGGAGCAAGTCCAGAGGAGGCCCACGAAGATGATCAGAGGGCTGGAGCACCTCTCCTATGAGGACAGGCTGAGAGAGTTGGGGTTGTTCAGCCTGCAGAAGAGAAGGCTCTGGAGCGGGGGGGCTTTACAGCAGCCTTCCAGTACCTGAAGGAGACTACAAGAAAGCTGGGGAGGGACTGTTTATCAGGGAGTGTAGTGACAGGACAAGGGGTAATGGGTTTGAGCTAAAAGAGGGTAGATTTAGATTAGATATTAGGAAGGAATTCTTCCCTGTGAGGGTGGTGAGGCACTGGAACAGGTTGCCCAGAGAAGCTGTGGATGCCCCCTCCCTGGAAGTGTTCAAGGCCAGGTTGGATGGGGCTTTGGGCAACCTGGTCTAGTGGAGGGTTTCCCT